CACAATATATCAATTGATTAAAAAAAAGATCTTTTTAAAAAAACACTTAAGCAATTATTGCTTAAGAATAAGAAATAAAAAATTAGATTTATTAAACTAATACATCAAAAATATTTATAGAGGAAAAGGCCCTTATGAGATACCGAGTTAATTTTGGATAAAAATATACTAATAGGGCCTGTATGCAGAACATGCTTTTATTGATAAAAGTGCGCTTTTATCTCTGAAATTTTATAATATGAATAGATATTAGAAATACTATAGGTATTTCTAATATGAATCTCATATTACGATTTCCACGCCTTATGGTTTTACGATAATCAAATCTAACTTCTATAATTAAACAATACAACATATCCCATATACTTCTATTAGTACGCTCTTATTCTATTACTTTATGAAGAATTTATCACCAAATATTTACTTTTATTAAATAATAAACAAGATTTAAAGGCTCAATCAAGCTATCTAAATTCTAAAATCCTTTTTTACATGTATGATTTAATAATGAATTTTCCACTAAATAGTTTTCAATCCAAGAGCAATAAATTCATGATGGAAATAGCGACTCAGTTTATTAATTTAGAAACACCGCTACCTCATATTAGGCTATCTCATATTAGGTGACTTTCTTCTATATTTTTTAATTTCTATTTAATTTTGAAAAAATATTTTGGAGAAATATAAATGTCAAGAAATATAGAGAACAAATAAAAGGTTTAATAAATAATTTTTATTAACAGGTGATGTTCAGGATGTTCAGATAATTTGCAAGCACAGTACGTCAACACAAGGACTAATGGAATCAAATACTGATAACTCTTAATAATCTGTAAAATCTGAAAAAAATCTTAATATATAAGCCTCTTATACTAATGATAATGATGCAAAAGAGATATTATTTTTGTTAACTTAATTAATCAATTATAAATTACAATTACAAGATATGTGTTCCTGATAAAATCTCTAATAAATTACTATTAAAGTTTTAAATTTTTATTTATTTTTTACTTTAGAAATTTCTTTAAGATTATCCTATAGATATCTATATGTACAATAAAATAGAATAAGTTTTAACAAAGCGTGTAGATAGAACGAACTAAATTGAGTCGAAAAGTCCTCTACCAATTTTCGCAATAGTTAAGATATTAATTATTAAAAACCATTGAATATTGGTTTTCAATAACTTTTTCAAATACTATCAACTTTACAAAAAAACAGGGTGAGACAAAAATTGTTTATTTTTTTCTCAAAATTCTGAAAATTTTTTGCAATTTCAATTTTTCAATACTATATTCATTGAATTTATGCACTGAAACAAGGTTAGTTAGATCACGTGATAAAGATCAGCTAGATTAAGGATCTCACATTCACTGATTAGTAGCATACTTGATATTGATATCAGTAATTATCCACTGATTCAGATATAGAGAGTGTCTAAAAATATTTTAATATTGTTTTTGTAGTAGAAAATATATGTATGAAGATAATGCAAATTTCTGCGCATTTTTTCTCAATTTATTACATTACAAGTAATAATCTAACATTTATTTTTTATAGTTTCTATTAAATGTATAATTAAATGTATAATTGGAGTACCATTAAATATATTCACGATGAAATGGGACAATACGGAAAAGAAGTGTAGTAAAAAAGCAGTTTATACTTCTAAGCAATGAATTTTATTTTATCGTAATAAATTTTTTATTTTATATTAATGATTATTTTTCATTTATTTTCTTATAATTTTCTATTTTATTATTTAATAATTAGTTGTAATTATATTTTGTTATATTATTAGTAACTATGCTAAGAATATATAAGTTAATTGAAAATACTTTCGAACTTTCATCTCCGTTATTTCTTGCATAATCTTATAATACTATTTTGTGTGTAACTTATGGAACTCCGGATATGGGACTCATAGGGTCATCTTTTTTAAATATTTTTATTTTTTTTTTTAAACTAATAATATTTACTAAATATAATTACTAAATTTTAAAATAATGCATTATACTTTAATTATAAAAAAAAAGATGACAAAAATTTTTATATTTATTATAGATGCACTTTTAAGAGTTCGAATTTTTGTGACTCATAGTGCCCGGTTTCCCCGGATATATAGGTATACATACCTATATATCTACCACATTAATTACGTCTATTTTCTAATAAAAGTAATACTTTCTAAACTAAAATAAATGCTTCTAATCCTTCGAATGAATTTCCTTCAACACGAGCGGTATCAATACTTTAAAATGAATTTTACGCTACGAATACATATGCAAGCTTTGTGTAACTTTCTGATAGTCACAGCACATCCTGCTTTGAAAGAATAACATGGGATATGTTGATGTATATACATATAAAGTATATTAAGATAAAAGAGATGATATATGGGAAGGAAGCATTTCAATAGTCAGTCGACTAAACATCACGGAGCGAACATCGACCTCGTAATAAGAGCTAAGTCATGGGATTATTTAACGCTCTAATCATTATTTTGGCCGTTAAGATATTTTTAGAAGTAGACGTATGGCATGTGAGTGCAATCTCGTTTACTGATATTTCGTTATGGAATCAAACCGTAAAAAGTGAATTACAAAAAAGAAATGTAACGGTTAATAATTCAAGATGCAGTGACATAATTATGATCAGGTATTTCAATATTTGTTGTTATACTTCCTCGAAAATTATATTCTTTTTACATATCATGTATTCATTTCTAAAATAATTTATTTCTTCAAAGTATTTTACAAATGACTCGTTTCGATATGTTTATACTAAAAAAAATACTAAATTTTAATAAATATTTGTTTAAATAGTTCTAAGTAAATATTTATTAAATGTATATTCATTTAATATAAAAACCATATATATTCATTTAATATATTCATTTAATATAAAAACCATTAATTTGATTTAACTATCATTTTTTTAGTAAATATTTATTTATTGTAAGTAAATGTTTACATAGTAGATGCTAGAGAAATATATTAAAAGATTTAGTAAATGTTTTTCAGTGTATATGTATATTAATTTTGCTAATTTTATTACAGTCAGAAAATACCAGTTTACATTCCCTATAAGGAAACATATAGATCGTCAGAACAAAATATGTCTGAAAAGATTCGAGATAATTTTAGGATAGAGGTAATCGGATTGATAATGCCTTTTACGATATTCATAAAAGAAACAAGAAAGAGAAGAATTTTGTAAATTATTAGTCATTTTTTTGTCTTTTTATTTTATATTTCAAACAAATTATCAATTTCTCATCTGCTCATTACAATCCGTTAATTCGATAATTATATTTACAGTTTCGCACTACACGGACATGTAGCTGTGAAGGCTACGTTATATCCGGTATGGACCGGTGCGTACCGCGTTGCCCGCAATCTTGCAAGAAAGGTACCTGCAAGGAGCCAGACGTGTGCACTTGCAACGTAGGATATCACTTGTCAAGCGACGATAAGCGATGCATGCCAAAGTGCACGAACGGCTGCATTAACGGCACCTGCATTGATCCTGAGGTTTGCAGTTGCAACGAAGGCTACTGGTTGGACTCGGACGGATTTACCTGTCGGCCCGTCTGCAATGCAGAATGTGAGCAAAATCACGGATATTGCTCCGAGCCGAACGTGTGCATCTGCAACAAAGGGTACCGCATGTCAAACGACAGTAAATGTATGCCAGAGTGTAAAAACGGCTGCATCAACGGCACTTGTATTCTACCCAAGATTTGCACTTGCAACGAGGGCTACAGATTGGACTTGGACGGATTTACCTGTCGACCCTTCTGCAACATGGAATGCGAGAACGGATACTGCTCTGAGCCGAATGTGTGTACATGCAGTTCCGGTTACAGAAGAGTCGGTAACGACTCATCTCCGTTCATGTGCGAGCCTACTTGCAATTCCGATTGCGAGCGCAAAAAAAGTAGTTGCCTAACTCCTGACTGTGTCAAAATAAATTGTGATCCCGGCTACGAACTGGACATGAATCACTTTCCACACCGTTGCAAACCGAAGTGCCATCCTTGCATTTTCGGGACGTGCACGGCACCAGGGACATGCACGTGCGACCATGGTTATACAGCAGTGAACGCAAGTGTTTGCGAGCCGATCTGCGAGCTGAACTGCGGAACCGGCATATGCACTAAACCCGGATTATGCACTTGCGATTTTGGATACGTTTTTGATGAAACGAATAGAACGTGCAAGCCATACTGCTCGATACCCTGCGGATTAAACAAAGAATGCGTAGCGCCAAATGAATGCAAATGCTCCAAAGGATATCACAAAAAAGATATCATATTTACTTTCGATCGTTCAAACATTTGGAATTATCCTTTTTTCAGAAATGAATTTTCTCTAAGAAGACCGTTTTTCAAGAAGGCAAGTATAGCTGTATAATAAGATATAAGCATTATTTTATTCATTATCGCCATAATTCTTGACACAATGTTTAAGATGCAATCATCAATGACAGTTTTAATCGTCACAAGAAAATAATCCTTTTTAAATTTTTTTTTTAATGTCAGTTAAAAAGATTATTTTAATTAAATTGTAGCTATTCGCAATGAATGTTCGCAATGAATATTTATCAAGTTATGATTGATTAAATTATAATCATTAAAAAAAATACTCGATTAACTCCAATTTTTTTTGAGATTATGCACGAATTAGTTAGTTTAGTTGAAAAAATTTTTTATTAACTTCACTTAAGATCTTTCGAAAGAAAAAAAAGAAAGTTTGAAAATTCCTGCTTAAAATAAATTTTTTTAGAAATTCAGTTAGAATTTTCGTTCGCTTTGTTATCGTGATTAAAATGGCCACTGTATATTCGATTTTTTCATCATTGAGTAGAGAAATATTAACAGTAATATGAGTAATATTCAATACGATGTGAAGATTGTACGTACATTAAAATTTTATATTGTGTTTCATCATACTATTGATTCAAAGCAGTTCTTAGATTTAGAAGAGTTTATTACAATATTTTTAAACAACCCGTTAATCACAACTAACTTAAAAAAAACTCATTTGATCTAAATTAGCTCGTGTCTTACTGTACACCAATTTGCAACTTCGAATGCATCAATGGTAAGTGCACCGCACCAAATGTATGCACTTGCGACAAGAATTTTTATCCACGGTGGATCGACAATCATCCTCCTCTACCTGATAATTCGCATGTACTACGCATTTGTGATCGTCTCCCCGGACCTCCCTGTAATGAGTCCTCGTGCGGGGTTAAGGGGACATGCCATGAATCCGGCATTTGCATTTGCAATGACGGTTACGTGAGGGACACGAATGGTGATTGCGTACCCTTTTGCACCCCAACGTGTTCCAACGGCACATGTACGGCGCCAAATCGCTGCGAGTGCCACGACGGCTTCGCGTCACGAAACGAGAGCTTCTGCGAGCCAATTTGCGAAAGAGGTTGCAAGAACGGCGACTGTATAGGTCCAAATGAGTGCATTTGTCACGACGATTTCATATCGAACTTGAACCATCACTTAGGACCAGAATGCATCCCTGAATGTACTCGCAACTGTAGCGAACGCGGCAACTGTGTCGTCGACCACATTGACAATATTAACATCACCTACAAATGCACATGTCATCGCGGATGGACAGGGCAGGACTGTGATCAACCGACCATGTGCATGATGGTTATGCTTGACAATTACGAAGATCTCAACAGGTGAATTCAATTCTATTTACTTGCTTATTTCCCCATTTCTCGCAAAGAGCTATTCAATACTTTTCTAGACGAGTTTTGTATTTTGCAAATATCATTGCAGTACCACGATTCGTAATGATAGTGCAATCAATGTACCATTCTTCGAGGACATGCCATATTGTGAATGCGATAAGTCTATTGACAACGAAACATTATGCTTTAGGCAATATGAAGGCAATACGTCATTTATTAGCTGCTTGTTTAATAAAGGTATTTACAACTTAGAAAAACAGTCACATTTTCAATTGATAATGGCAAATATTATTTTGTTAATTATTTATAAAAAAGTTTTAATTTATTAATGTGCTTTTAAATTTTTACGTAATCATTTCATCAGTAGTGTAACAGAATTTTAATAGGTCAAGAAAACATTATTTTTAATTCCTTTATTTTTAAAATAACTTTTGCTCAATTATGTAAATTATATTAGATGTGGGAAAAAGTTCGTGGCGTTTTTCCTGTTACATCTAACGGGAAAAATGCCACGAACTTTTTCCCATACCTAATATAAATATTAACTCAGTCAATATAACAAAGAATAAAGTTGTGTTGCACAAACTTTTCTAAATAATTAATTCTTCTAAGAAATTAGTAGACACATATTATTCACAAAATATCAGAATTTCATTTTTCCATAAAAAAATCAATTAAACACTTCTAGTTCAATTTATAAAAACTTAAAAATATAGAATCAGTTTAGAAAAGTTCGAATAAAAGTTTGTGTGTACGCATAAAATAAGAATATAAACTGATAAAAATAATATGAAACGTTAAAAATAGTATGATTTTTTTTTTATATAATACAATTCTATCTATTATAAGAAAAACCTCGAAAAAAACATTTGAATCGTTAGTTTCATTTTTACCTTCCATTTTGCAGATTTGCCTTGTTACACGACATCTCATTATAATGCCTCCATTAATGGTGCCAAAATAGTTTGGTCTTTCGTGATAGTCACTATATTAATAGCCACAGGTTTAACAGCAGCAGCATATTTTATATATCGCAAACGCCAAAAGGAAAAATTCGCAGGTATTTTTCAAAATTTATTAATTTCACGTTTTAAGAATATAATAAAATATAATTGCGGCTTATTTTTAGCTATACTAAATCGACATAACAAATGTCACCTTATGAATGATAAATAATTTCTGCGATATCATAAATTTCGCTTTCCTTTTATTATATTTCCGTTTATTATAAATGTTAGAACACATCAAGTCATTATTGTATTATATTTTATTAGAAAACGAGAGAGATAATTTGAAATATTTGTTCCAATAGGTCCGTCGGTTCACGTCTTTGTGCGAGAATCTTTCAGCACCGAAATTTTGTTGCAATAAGATCTTTGAATGAGATAGTTAAGTTAGTAACTGTAATAGTTATATAATAATGATGATAAATAGAATTGTAATAGTAACTATGAATTAGATATTTTAGTGTTCATATTCTGATGTAACATATTTTAGTGTCATCACATATCATAAGACAAAGATAAGTAATACTCATTTAGATAATATAATCGGTATTAATAATATTTTCATACTAAATCTAATCAAGTTATTTACTTCTTTGAACATGTATATCAAGATGTTTTGATGACAATAATAAAAATATAAAAATATAAATTTGAAAAACTGTTTCTCAAAATAGAATTCATCTAATACGAACGCTGTTATAATTCATTGAGATAAACTTCATTGAAGTAAATTGCTAATATTGTCAATAATGTCAATGAATAGTTTCGTGTGAGCAGGCAATGTAATATCAAGATATGACATAATTGAAACTGTTTAACACTACTCGACAATAATGAAATCTCCAGATATTTTCGGCATGTATGGCCGCAATATCGGTCACCTCCTTTAGACTGCAATTACTGACCCAGTTGTAGCCTTGCCATCAGCAGTCAGCAGATGTCCATCGATGATAAGGCAGCAAAACTTTATTTCGCAATAAGACTTAACTCCAAACGAAAGACTAGAGGCGTGCTGGTCTCTCGTCGCCTTTATCCCCCCCCCCCCCCAC